TTTTTTTTGAGACAGAGTCTCACTCTGTTGCCCCAGGTAAAGTGCAGTGGCATCATCATAGCTCACTGCAACCTCAAACTCCTAGGCTCAAGGGATCCTCCTGCCTCAGCCTCCTGAATAGCTGGGATTACAGGTGCACACCACCGTGCCTGGCTAATTTTTCTATTTTTTGTAGAGACGGGGTCACACTCTTGCTCAGGCTGGTCTCGAACCTCTGAGCTCAAGCAATCCTCCTGCCTCAGCCTCCCAGAGTGCCAGGATTACAGGCATGAGCCAGAGCACCTAGCCTACTCATCTATCAGAATACCTGATTTACCCGTCGGCCTATTTCCATGAGAACAGGGGGCCTCATGAAGGCAGGTACTGAAGCTTATTTTGGCCACATCTTTAGGGTCTAGTTCAGTGCCTGGTACGCGGTAGTTGTAGAAAGGACCAGTAGGAGAGTGCCCGCTGCAGCATTTACTAGGTGCTTCCAAATGTGGGTGTACATGACGAATTCACTTTCCACCAGGGACCATCATGTGCCAAAAAGTAAATGATAATGGAAATTCTTGGCAGGGTGTGGTGGCTCACGCCTGTCTGTAGTAGTAGCACTCTGGGAGGCCGAGGCGGGAGGATTGCTTGAGCTCAGGAGTTCAAGATCAGCCTGAGCAAGAGGGAGACCCCCGTCTCTACTAAAAATAGCCAGGCTTGGTGATACTCTCTGGTAGTCCCAGCTACTTGGGATGTTGAGGCAAGAGGATCGCTTGATCCCAGGAGTTTGAGGTTACAGTGAGCTGTGATGATGCCACTGTACTCTAGCCAGGCGACAGAGTGTGTCTCTGTCCCACCTCCCAACATTCTCACTAACATTTCATAGATATCTTGTCAAATTCACCAGCTTTTCTAGAGTTTTCAGAGTAGAGACAAATGTGTCTGTAAATGAAGAAATCATTTAAACTGCTGAGTTGAAATTCTACACCTAGTTTCTAAATGAATATACAGTATATTGCATTGCTCAAACAGTTTTCCTATTTGTGAAGGGTTTGAACAGCAGGGCTGCTGACTTAGTGTTCTTAGTGCCAGTGTTTATGAAATGCCTTTTTGATAAGAGAGATGGTGTAGCTGGTGCTGTACGGTGAGGTGAAGGCCTGGACATGTAATCACACATTCAAGCCAGAAACCTGGAACTTATCCAGATTCTTCTCCCTTGTCCGTCCAACAGTCAGTCACCAAGATCTATGAAATTATTTTCAAATGTCAGTTGTGCTCATTTCTTCCTCTACACTTCCACTGCTGTGGCCTCAATTCAGGCTTTGCGGATTCATGGC